GTGATGTACTTACTTCTGGCTAAATGTTTCTTCTTAGCTTTCTTTTTTTATTTTAGTGTTTGATCAGTGGTTTTTACACAGTTATTTTATGTTGATTTTAGTTATGTTTTCTTGTTATTGTCAAACATTTTACTTCATGTTTCCACATTTTATGCGTTGGTTTGTGTTTTACTGTTTTTAGGCTCACAGGAATAAATCGGGATAAATCAGTGTGAAAAAGTGCAAAACTCAGAGTTTCAGAGGAAGTACAAAAATCATGCTACAGGAGGCTTGACACGGGTGGTTGTGTCAGCTGACACGGGCCATGTCGGGAGGAAGGCCTGAGTTGCATTGAAGAAGAGTGGAAAGTCATGGGTGCAACATGGGCGACCGTGTCACCTGACACAGACCGTGTTGCATGTCCTGGGGCTTGGAAAAGAAAATTCAGAAACCAGAAGGCCAACATGGGCGACCGTGTCATCTGACACGAGTCGTGTTGACCACTGACGTTGATTTGTATTGTTTTCTTGATTTTCACTATGTGTGGCCTGCGATGGTGTTTTAGGTATTTCCAACTGGCCTAAGTGGATTTCCACTATTTAGATGAGTTTTCACGATGGATTAGGGGAATTTTTGCATACGAAGAATTCAGAGTGTAAGTTCTCTTGTTTTAAAGATTGGCATTAATATTTTTAAAACAAATAATACAACAATATGTTAGATATAATGTATTAACTTGCTAACATGAATAAGTTGAGCAAGAAGTCCCGTCTTATGTTACGAAATGTTGAGTTGAAGAGTTTCAACATCTGGAACAACATGTCGGATAAGATGTCCTATGAAGGAGCATACAACATCACACTTGAGCTGAAGTGGAAAGTTAAATTTTGTTATGATTTAACTGATGCAGAATATTTTAGGAAATATTATGCAACATTATAGGGCACCAATTTAAAGTTTAAGAAGAATCAATCAGAATATTGAAGAATATACAGTTTCTAAATTTGGAGATAATTTAGGAAGATTTGATTGAAGACCTTGTTTATATTAGAAGTTATTGTTGTTTGTTATGGCTAATATGCTGTATTTTAAAGGCCCAAATTCAGTTGGGTATAGGTTATAAATAGAAGTTTTTTCAACCTAGGAAAGGCATGGGTTCAAGATGTAGAAGTCCAGGGCTTTGTCTTTTTTCCGCTCTCTAGGAGAGTTGGTGTAAGTGAACCACTCGGGTTGTGAGATGGTCACTGTTGTTCTCACTTAGAAGATGTGAAGTAATTAGTTGAGTATTATTCTTGGAGGAAGATTTGAAGCAACTCCAAGTTGTGGTCTTAGTCAGGAGTCTTGGCTAGTGATTATCATGGAAGTGTGTCTTCCTGTTTGTTCAAAATTGTGTTGATCCAATCGCTGTCTGTGATTGAAGAGGGATTGAGGAAAGCCTCATATCTAGGTGAGTCTTAGATAGAAATCTAGGAAGGATAGTGATTAAGTAAGAAGTTATAAATGAGGGAGTTTAGCTTCAAATTGATACTATCATAGTGTATTTGTCTCTAGCTTGGTATGCCCCCAGAGTAGGATAATAGCTCTGAACTGGGCTAACAACTCTGTGTTTATGCTTTTCAGCACTGTTGTTTAATGTTGATACCTTGCTTATTTGTTTATGTCGGATTGGATGTCCCAACATGCAATAGGACATATGAGGCATGTCATACCAAAATTTCAATTGGTATCAGAGTAGGCATCATGTATGTTTCTAGATGAGATCCAAGGGGGTACTTTCTGGTTATGTGCGAGGTAGATTGGTTCTACTGAAAAACTGTATGAACTTGGAGAGTTCATATTTTTGTTTGAACGGTCCCTAGAAGTGGAGGATGGACTGTTCGTGACAGGGTGTATATTGGACCTATTTGTGATTGGTTTCAGGCGTGTAGCTTTGGTGGCAAGCTAATGTGTTAAGGTTTTGATTTATTTTCAAATCCAGGATAACTTGTTGCACCTGAAAGATGATGTTATGTAAAGGTTACTATTTTTTCCTGAAGGCGGTCAAGGTATTTTTCTGGTTTGTATTCCGCTGTATATATATCTGATGGAAAAAACTCCTGGTGTTTTTGTGTGTTAAGGATGAAACACACCGTTCTCCTCTAAAGGCATATCCCATGGTGTGGTGATACTTGAGGAGAAGTTAGACGAGCTTGCTAGAGCAGCCAAATATACTTGAGGTTTATCCCAAGTCCACTCATAAAGGCACTCTTGTGTGAGTTTTTTGAAAAGAGATCTGATAGAGGCAATTTATTTTTGCTTTCAACCCTAAAAGGCCAATCTCCGAGCTTTGATAAAAGATCTCTTGACGTGTTCCTTGTAAAGGGAACTGATGTCCTACCAGATGTTGGAACATCAAGCCAACAAATTTTGCAGAATCTGGTTGGACAAAGATAGGGCATAACAGATGCTTCGGGGCTAAACAAACGTGTCTTAATCACATATGTTTGGAACTTACTCCTGATCTGGAAGAGGAAGCATCTGTATCTAAGAATTTTCTATGATAGAAACATGTGTTAGATAAGTATGTTGGTCAGGACACGATCAACATATTTGGAACTCTCTAGATTAATTTATTTCTGATCTAAGTGAGTTGGTGAGCAGTGGTTGTGCTTTATTATGGAGGCTCAGTAAAGGTATCATATTTGTATACTCTATGTATGGAGAACAAGCTACAGTATCAAGAACTTTCTCTAGTGAAGAAATCAGATATGCTCTCACTATCTTCCATCTGAAGCAATTTATACGTTCTCTTGTGAGTTTGTAACCTCACTTCTTTCACATTTTCTGCACCACCAAAAGACTTTTCAAGAACCTCCCAAGCTTCTTTTGCATATTCTGAATCACTCACTTTTTCAAAATTTTCCGGACTCAGACATTGATGCATTATAAAGAATGCTTTATAACTCAGCGTCTTAGATTCTGTGTGTTTCTTCTTTTCTTCTTTTGAAGCGTTTTCTCCAAGTGCTTCCAATCCATCATTTACAAGATCCCAAAGACCTTGACACCTGAATAAAATTTTCATCTGTTTGCACCAATTCTCATAGTTGTCTACTTTCAGAATTGGTAGAGTTACTGGATAATTTGCATTCTCATAACTCGCCATCGTGAATTCTTCTTCTTCCTCAATCTTTCTTGATCGATACTTCCCTTGAATCGATTAACCGAGCTCTTGATATCAGATGTTGAAAATCTACCAAATATCTATGATGAATTTCTATCAATCTTGATGAACAGGATTGATATCATCACATAATGACAATGAATTATGAGAAAAGAAAAGAAAAAAGACAATTATTTTCTGCAGAGTTTCTTCTGCCCACAAACTGTGGAAAACTTTATTAATCACTTGCAACTGCAAATTCTGTGATTACAATGAATCGACTTAATTATAAAATTAGGGGTTACTCCCTCTATTTATATATTTAGGTTAGCTTGCTCCCTAAGTCAAAGCCCAAAACTATAAAAAGCCCAAAATACATATTTTTGTACTAAATCAAATCTATCTATTTTAGATCTAAATCAAACTTATATAAATCTAAAACCTATCAAATTTGTGTGTAACTTGCTTCGATCCACAAGCTTTTCGACTGAGCAACCTCCCTTCAACACACATTATTTCGACACAATTGAATTACAATTTAACACAAATTACATCAACAAATTAGATTAATAGTTATATTTTTTTATTCTTTATTATTTTTTTGTTTAATGGTTATAAACGACCATTTAATGATTCACACTATTCTTAAAAAAAAATTTATCTTCTCACATTTTTGGTAATAAATAATTATATTTTTATATAATAAAATCTTCCTCTCATTAAACAAAATGATTTCCATTAATTTTCCTTTCAACCCACGTAATTTCTCATATTTAAAAAAAAAAGTGATTCTATTTTTTTTTTCAAATCATGATTCATACTAATAAAATATAGGAGTAGTTGTTTCTTATTTTTTTAACAAATTTTACTTCTTCTTTAATTATGTTATGAAAAATTAAATTCTAACACTTAAACTAAATAATAAAGTTCATACATTTTTAAATTGAATACGAAAGAATACTCAAATTGTGTTAAAAAAAAAAGAATAATGAGTTTATAATAATATGATTGTTAATAAAAAATTAAAATAATATAGGAAATAAATTTTTTTTTGAAAATGTTTAATAATGAGAGAAAAATTATCAAATTCATTGTGAACTTTATATATTTTATTTTCGATTTATGACATAACTATTGCACGCTAATTACTTAATATTTGATTTTCTTTTTCTTTTTTATATATTGTTTTTAATATGATTTTGTAATCTATTTGTAGTTTTTTTTTTTAGATTAAAAGCATTAATTCTCAATATCCAAAAGCATTTATAGTGTACTTTTAGTGAATAGAATATAATTTTATTTATTACATAAATAGTATTGTACAGTTTTTTAAAAATTGATAGTAAATAGTTTTTATTTATCAAAATTCACATTTTTTGAAATACGTTCTTTTTAAGAAATATTTATAAGAATCGTATTAATTATGTGTGTTGGTTAGTAAAAATTAGAAAATATATATATTTTTTTAATTTAATTATTTGAAATTCATTTATTACCAAAAGTGTGTGAACTATTTTTAGTAAAAATTGTGTGATATATTTGTCTAATTTCATCTCTCCTTTTATATATATATATATATATATATATATATATATATATATATATATATATATATATATATATATATATATATATATATATATATATATATATATATATATATATATATATATATATATATATATATATATATATATATATATATATATATATATATATATATATATATATATATATATATATATATATATATATATATATATATATATATATATATATATATATATATATATATATATATTAATTAGTGTAATATTTTTCTTAATCTTGATTTAAGGTGTTGAATATCATAACATAGAGAGAAGTAAAGAAGGAATTAATAATGGATAATCTCAGGCAAAGAGTTGGGAATATTTCAATTGTAGCATTACTCTTTGTTGGATTTATTTTCATTTTTATTTACAATGGCTCATTTTCTTCTTCTTCCAATCAATTACTTCAATCTCACAAGGTACGTTGAAATCATGTATAACATATCTCTTTCTCTAAGGATTACTAATAGTTTAATTTTCTTTATTTTTAATGTAGAGTACCAATATTAATGAAGCGTATAAAGATGGTCTTGAAACAGCTTTGGGCAAAGCTTCAAAGGGAAATAACAAAACATTGATAATTGCTTTTGTAAATAAGGCTTATGTAGAACAAGATGTTAATGATGATCCCATCACCATGTTTGATCTATTTTTAAGTAGCTTTTGGCTTGGACAAGAAACGAGGTCTTTGATCGATAATCTTCTCATCGTTGCCGTTGATCGAACGGCTTACGATCGATGCATGTTTTTGAGGTTGAATTGTTTTAGATTGGAAACTGATGGAGTTGATTTTGAAGGTGAAAAACTCTACATGTCTCAAGATTTTATCATGATGATGTGGACAAGAACGTTTTTTCTTTTGCAAGTTCTAAAACGTCATTACAACTTCATTTTCACCGTAAGTTTACTTCATACTTTGAATGAGAGAGTTTTTTTATAATATAATTTAAGATTAAGAGGGTTTTTATTACATTTTATTAGGTGACGATTTTTATTTTTATTACACTTTATTGCGTGAAGAAACCTCTATCAAAAATACCTACACATTATTTTAATGATAAATATAAACCGATATATCTAATAGCCACGATGATATATATTTTAATGATAAATATAAATATTATGCCATTTTATTATATTATTAATCAAATATTTCTATAAATACTTATATATTGTTACTTTCATCGTTTTGTATTGTTCCTAATTTATTACCACACTTAATTTGCAGGACAGTGATGTAATGTGGTTAAGAAATCCATTTAAAAAGTTGAGCATGAAAAGAGATGAAGACATCCAAATTAGCACAGACGAATATAATGGTGATCCTTGGTCAGAAAATAATAAAATAAATACTGGATTTTATTTTGTGAGATCGAATAATAAGACCATATCATTGTTTGAAACATGGTACAAAAACAAAGACAATTCCACCGAAAAAAAGGAGCAAGATGTGCTTCAAGACCTAATTAAAGGTGGTATATTTAAACATTTGAAACTCAAGGTTAGATTCTTGGATACCCTCTATTTTAGTGGATTTTGTCAGGATAGTAAAGATTTTAGAGTTGTAACCACTGTTCATGCTAATTGTTGTCGAAGCATCATTGCAAAGGTGACTGATTTAAAGACAACCCTTCGTGATTGGAAGCAATTTAAGAAGTTAGAGGTTAATTCTACCACAAATATTCATTGGTCAAGTCATAAGAAGTGTTTGCAATCTTGGAAATCATAAAAAAAAATGGCACTTATTGAAATAAGTGATTAGTTTTTCAGTTAAATTTTTTATTTCTTTTAGGTATGTTGTTCGTCTGGTTGCACAGACACATGTCGGTCTTAACTTTTATATAACTATAATTTAAATATATTTTAGTTCTTTTAAATTTATCACTTTTATTTTAATTTCTATTTTATTTTTTATTTTGGTCTTTGAATACTTTTTATATTGTCTTTATCTTTATTCTTTTATTTTAAACATTACAAAATAAATTTATATTAGAATTAGATCTTGTAAGTGGTATAATATTTGATTTTATTCTCTCCAATACTAGTGTGATAAAGACTAAAATCAAATATTCAACCTATTATAAGTATCAATTCCTATATAATTAGTTTAGTATAGATTAAAATAATATAATAAAGATCAAAATCAAAACAAATAAATAAATATTTGTCATAACTAAAATTAAACATATTTAAGCCTAAACCAACTATTTTAAAAAAAGCATTTGATTGAGTATGTTTAATAAACTATCAATGATTCTTTTTATAGCTAGATAAAAAAAGATTTGATTCTCTCTTTGTGCATGATTCTGTTTTGGTGAATTTTTATTATTGTGGAAATATTTTATTTTGTTTAACACTTGTTTGATTCTCCGGAAAAATTGACTAGATCCATTATTCCTCTAAGATCTTTGAGGAATTTAGAACTTTGAAATGAAATTACTAATGGTGCTATGACTGATAATCTGCAAGTTTAAAGAGGATTGAGACAAGGAGACCCTTTGTCGCCCCTCATCTTTGTCTTGGCTATGGAGTACCTCCAAAGAATGTTGCATGAACTAAAAAAAAATCATAATTTTAATACCATTCTAATTGTGAAAAGCTTAATAATGTGAATTTGAGCTTTGCAGATAACATTCTTTTACTTGCTAGAGGGGACACCATCTCTGTTAAGCTTATTGTGCAGACTTTTAAAGCTTTCTCTGAGTCAACAAGTTTGACAGTGAATAATAGCAAGTGCAAAGTTTATTTTGGCAACATGGAGGATAACATTGAAGGTAGAGAAAAATACAAAAAGAGGGGTTTGAATTGGGTTATAAGAAAATATTCCCCTTTAGAAAATTATTTGATTGAACTATGAAAGAATATAGAATGCAATAAATATAAAGAGACACATTAAGTTATCCAGGTTCACCATTAACTAGGTTACTCTTGTCCACCCTCCTCGGGTGATTTTGCCTTCAACAAGGACTTAATCCACTATAACCAAACTGATTACAGATGCACGGGCTACCCGCCTGTGACTAACAATCAATCAATGATCAGCAACTATTGACCCCTTAAGAAATATGACCTACCTAGTCTTTCTTAATAGGATTTCACAATGACCTGCATCCATTATCATCTTGAGTCTTATGACTAACACTAGTCACTCAAGGAATAACATAATAATACGTTCAGTGATCTCCACGAGATATAACGATCATTGACCCTATTAGAAATCTAATAAACTTGATCTTTCTGTGAGGGATTTCTCACGATGACCCTTAGCCAGTGATCTCTCAAAAAATTTGACCTTCCTGGTCCCCTAAGAGATATAGTGATCATGGACCCCATAAGGTTTCTGACCAAACTGCTCCCTTAAAATAGGATTTCATCTACGATGACCGCAACCAACGTCTTCTCAAGTCTTTTGATCTTCACTCAATCACTTAAGGAACCAACCAATTCTGAATAGAATTGTTTTTCTGGAGATTACATGAGTGCTTCTTATTAAGCATATTACTCCTAATTTAAGTACATATTGTTTGACACAATTCTGAGCAACAACTCTTGTGTACAAACAATTTACATGAAAATCCTTAAGAAATAGCACAATCTGAGCAACAACTCTTGTGTTTTATATTATTTCTCAAAGATGAATATAATCTAAATTGAATGCATCATCTTGTAGTCTTCTTGTCTTCATCTTCTTTGTTGAGCAAGATATGAGCAACAACTCCTTGCTTCTTCATAATTCTGTCAAGATGTATATGATTGATAGTTTGAATAACATCTTGTAGAATTCTTCTTCTTCATCTTCTTTCTTCATTAAGCAAGATATGAGAAATAACTCCTTGCTTATTCATTTCATCTCATCAACGTTGTTAGATATTTTCTATTAACAACATCAACATTGTATGAACTTAGACATTGTCAATATCTTCACCAATGTCTTCATTAATTTGAATTTCAAGCTTTAGTCTTCTTATCTAGCCTTCAGATTAAAAGAGTCATTGTAAGGATAGAGAAGTCTTTTCTCCTTCCAACGGTTGATTCCCAACGGATATATTCAAGAGAGGTTTGAAATAGTACAAAACATCACTTTCCTATACCTGCTGCTTGTAGTAGATAGCGTATGTCCGTGGGAGAACAACTTCTTTGAATAGTACTATTATTGTACTATTTTCTTCTTGAATAAGTTTCTTGATCTTTATCTTCTAATGATGTACTTCTGATTTTAAAGTATTAAGCCTGGAAGAGATCAATCACTTGTCTTCATTCTTCTGTTGAATGACTGATGAGTACTTCAGAAACTACTTTGTTGTTGTAGTGCAGGAACACCAGAATGGTCGGAACCAAATCTTGTCTTCAGAATTATAGGCAACAGCCTGTCTGAAACACAAAGCTTTTCTTCTGATTTATAACTACTCTTCTGATGCTCGGCTTAGAACAACCATTCTAAAGGGTTGGAACCATCAAACATTGCTAATTTCAGATTAGGTGTACGAAAAGGTGGCAAGGGGGTAACGTTTAGAATTTGTTGGTAGGGAATTTGTTGGGAATAGGGAAAAGCCATATTGTGAGTAGATGAGAATCCGTTGTGATAAAAGGCACAGGGCAACTTTGGGAATTTGTAAAGAGGGGTACGGTTTAGCTGTATGGGGGGAAAAGAGGTGGTGATTTTTGTTGAGCAGCGGTGGCTCGGTGTGTGGTAGAAATGGTGGAGTCTAAGGGTGGTTGGGATAAAATGGGTGAAGGTCTAGGGGGTTATAACATGGGAAATAAAGGTAGAAAATAAGGGTGTAGAAGAAGGTTATTTGGTTATACCTGATGCAGAGGCAACAAAGAGGACATAAACAGACTGCGGTTGTTCTTGTTGAGCCACCAGCTTCGTTAAGATTGACATCATCGAATCATAGCGAGTATCTGCGACTTGCTTGTCTTTGTCCAAACGAGAAAGGAGCTGACCAACTTGTTGCTCTAGATCTGTTGCAGCTATATCGAAACGTTCATCCAGCTGATGTTGGATATCTTGCAAAGCATTATCAAGGTGAAGACCAGTTGTTTGCACATCTGTTTGTACAGCTTCATCGATAATATCTTTGGGTGAGGGTTGAATGGGTTTGGGAGGGGCCACGAAAACAATAGACGAAAACACCGATGATGTAAATGAGTTTAGAACCTACTATCAATACTAAAGTAAGCCATTAAGTAAACACAAGATAAGAATGCAAATAAGATCTGAATGTTTTTCTGGGATTTTCAAAGGCAACAATGCCTGAAATACAAGATGGGATCCTAATGGATCAGCAAGATGGGCCTAACCAGAAAAGACAAAATTTAAAACAACATAACAATTGCTACAAAAACCTATTTCATTTGGGCATATAGTCTTTCATCCAAATGGGCTTGTTTTTAATTCTTATGGGCCTGCTAACAGGCAAGATTGTTATTTAGGAGCAACATATGTTATAAAGCCGAGATATTAGTTCGGGCTATGCAAATAATACATTTACTCGGAAGACGAGGTATATAGTTGGAGAGGTCAGAGGCTGACCAGGTCGGATGGTCGGGATATTAGATCGATTTGACGGTTACAAAAGTCTAAAAGTTTCCTAAACGTTACTGAGGGTGTTATGCCTCATGATTACGGCGACATATATTAAACCTTGTCATTGATGAAGGGATTTGAGAGACCATCTCTTGATAAAGACAAGTCACAAGAGTAGGGGTGGCAAACGGACATGGCCGCCTCGCAAAAGCCACACAAAAAAACGGGGCATGGCGTGGCGGACATAGTTGAGAATGAGGGCTTAAAATCTAGATCCGCCCCGCAAAAGTGAGTGCGAGACAGAGAAAGCCCGCAGACACTGCACTTTTTAGGCCTAAAAATACAAAATTTTATGCTAATAATCATGCCCACAAAAGCCCGCGAAGAAAACGGGGCGGGGCAGGGTGGCCACATTAGAGGGCGGGGGCCTAAATTCTTAGCCCGCCCGCATTATAGTGCGGGTAAAACGGGCATGTCCAACGAATCTGGCCCGTTTTGCCATCACTACACAAGAGTAAAGATATAAAAAGGAATCTCTCTTAGAGGGACATGACAAACATACATCACGCATAAGTAAAATACAAATCACAAATACACTAAACAGTTGCAACTTCACTAGATTAACTTCCGCGAGATTATCCAATCATGTTTTACAAGAATATATATATATATATATATATATATATATATATATATATATATATATATATATATATATATATATATATATATATATATATATATATATATATATATATATATATATATATATATATATATATATATATATATATATATATATATATATATATATATATATATATATATATATATATATATATATATATATATATATATATATAGGGTTATACTAACACACATCCATGTAGGCGTTTGTTAGCGACATACACTATTGTATATATAATTTGTTCAAAGTTGATTTAAAATTCTGTTTGAAAATAATTGAGATGAATTTGTGACAGAATCAATAATTTGCCGATGAAGTAAATTTTGTCTAAATTTTGTATGAAATACGTTTGAAAATATTTGAGATGAAATTTTAGGACATAATTACTAGTCTCTCTGTTTTATTTATAAGAAAAAATAATTTTTTTTATTTATTAAATAATTGGTCATTATAAAATTTAAATATATTGATTATTTAAAAAATCTAAAAAGTAATATTTCTTTTATAAATTAAATTAGAGAGTAATAATTTGCAACAAAAGTTTAGTTGAATTGAGTACATCTTTTATGAAATCCGTGCACAATTAATATTTTACAATAAAATCTTAAATAAAATGAAGTTGTTATCTTTTTACCAACTTCATATTATAGTTGTGTTTTTTTTCTATTATTATGTTAGATTTTAAATAAAATGGATTTGGAAAGAAGGATGGTCTGTAATAGAATATTAAGATAAAAGTTGATTTATGTAGCTGTTTTTACCACCTATATTTCTGCCATCTTTATCTTCATGATGTCTTGCTTCATGGTGTTGTTGTGTTGTGACAATTCCATTGTAGAAGTAATTAATTTCCCTAATTAGATTTTTTAATTTCAAGCTTTTCCACTTCTCCTTCTGAAATTGAGGACATTATTTCTTCTATTTATTCTTTTCTTTTCATTATTTAAACCTATTCCTAAAAGAAGAGAGAAAACTCAATTGTATCAATCCTAGTTGAAGATGAGATGGGGAAGCAAATCTTTAATTAGTTGGATTATGAAAAACAACTTGATGACAAACAAACCCCATTTGTCAACTCCAAAATTTGGCCCATGGCATTAAACTCTATATATAGATTAGGTTTAGATTAGATTATTAAGCTAGTCACGTCTTCTACTCGACCAAACCATCTTTAATCCCTAAACTTAATACAACTTTATTATATGTAGCTCTCAATCTTGATTTAAAAAAAAAAAAAATTATTTGTTTTTCTTCAAAATCCATAATACACCATAGTCATCCAGAATGCTCAACTGTTGTTCAGAATCGGAAGTAAGGATCTACATCCATTGCCCAAGCAAATTTTTCCAGCAGAGTTTGACTGAAAATCTAAGGATTTCAAAGTTCCAACCAACAACAATATCAATTCACTATTTTACTATAATCAATATTAATCATAAAAACTTAAGAAGTCCATACCTTTTCTATAGGAACGTCATTCCGCTTATTTGCATGCTGATAGACAACAACTTTTTCTGCAACATCTCTATCTTTAGTTTCTCTATTCAACTGTTGGCACATAATTCAAGGAAAATTGAATATAAGAGTTCTAAAATTACAAGGCAAAATAAAACAAAGAATAAACTCTTGTAAGGATTGAGATTTCGCCACAAAAATTTTAAACTGTTTTTTCAGAATTTTGGAATTTTGATTAGCTTTAGCGACAAATAGATGCCACGCGTATCACATTAGCGCTACGTCAGATGTCACCCAAACAAAAGTTGAAGCCATTTAAAAAAAATGGACGGAAAGGACTAACGTGAACCTTTTTGAGCAATTAAATAATCACTTTAGAACTTTTTAAAGATAAGAGACATAGTTCCCAAGTTAAACTTAAGGACCAAAAAAGATATTTTATCATGAAATAAAAAAGAAATGTAATTTTATCAATGTATCTTGTTGTATTCTAATTATAGTTAATATAAATTTGCAGTCAAAATGTAACAAAACTATTATTCCCCAACCAAACCTATAATTCTAGACCCATACCCATGAACAATTCAAATGCAACTGTGTAATTCTCTTAATAGTTAGAAAAAACAGAAATCACAAGTCAACGGTAAATAAGAAATGGAATCATTAAGATTCTATATAAGAGTAACAAAAAAGATAATTGAAGAAGCATTAACATTGTCACATTGAGAGTGTATTTGTAATCAGATGTAGACAACAAAAAGCGTGAAAAAAACTAAAATTGGGGAAAATTTTACTTTTAAGAGCAACTTTTCAAAAGCAAGACCGAGTTGTTCAAAAATACGATATTTAAAATTCTCTTTGGAACCAAAAAGAAAAAACATAAATATTAGACCTATCAAAATCTCAAACGAGACAAAATGACAAGGACATTGTTTTTAAAAGATTTTTAGGATTTCAAGTATTGTAATTAGTTAATATGGGAGGTAATTGCTTACATGTATCAGAAATAGTTAAATTAGTTGTAAAAAAATGCTAGAAGTTGGTGTAATCGGTTACACAAATACAATAATCAATTACAATTGATAGTTATTTCTGTTTTTGTAACAATTATAATCAATTATAGGTTTGTATTAATCGATTACAATCCGAATTTTTTATTTTTATTTTTGTCTCGATATTTTTTTATCTCAACATGATAGTATGTTTGTAATAAAGATCGAATGATATATAGTGAAAATTCTTACCCTCAACTATCCTCTTTCTAACTCTCTTCTCTCTCACCATCTCTTTTTCTACATAATCAAACTTTATATTATTTACCAATTTTGTAATTGAATATTTCAACAATTATCACCTAAAAACGGACTACAATCGGATGATTTTCTCATTCCGTATAGTCTATAATAAATATGTTTATTGTTGTTCCATGTACAACATTCCTTAACTATTAATCGAACAAATAATTGATCTTCAAAATTCCTTTTAGTAACATTATTATCTATACTACTCTCTCCGTTTAAAAACGATTTTCCTTTAAGAGAAAAAAAATTATTTCAAAAAGAATATGTGGCGAGGAATTAGCAAAACCTATCATATAATTAACAAAAATTATCCTATAAAATTAATTGCATTTAAACTCAAGGCATTATTAAACTCTATATATAGGTTAGATTAGATTATTAATCCAGCTACGTCTTCTACACGGCTATCTCAGTTTTAACTCTCGAAATTAATAAAGTTATACTATTTATAGCTATCAATCTATAATCCTAAGAAATAACTAATAATGGACAATATTAGGCAAACACTTGGTAGTTTAGCAATGGTAACATTACTCTTTGTTGTTATTATTTTCATTTACAATTGGCCCTTCTCACCTCTTTCCTCGTCCCAGTTACTTCTATTCCACAATGAACCACTCTGCCATCACCAATCAAACAAGGTACGTTCAAATCACACAATAATATTTTTCATGCAAGAGTTAGTAATAGTTTTAATTTTTATTATTATTATTATTATGTAGAATACCAATATTAATGAAGTATATGGAGATAGTCTTGAAACAGCTTTGGGCAAAGCTTCAATGGGAAACAACAAAACGTTGATAATTGCTATAATAAACAAGGCTTACGTAGAACAAGATGTTAATGGTGATGCCACCACCATGTTTGATCTATTTTTAAGTAGCTTTTGGCTTGGAGAAGGAACAAAGTCTTTGGTTGATAATCTTCTTATTGTAGCTGTTGATCAAACGGCCTATGATCGATGCATGTTTTTGAGGTTGAATTGTTTTAGATTGGAAACTGATGGAGTTGATTTTGAAGGTGAAAAACTCTACATGTCTCAAGATTTTATCACGATGATGTGGAAAAGAACATATTTTCTTTTGCAAGTTCTAAAACGCGGTTACAACTTCATTTTTACGGTAAGGAGTTTTCAAAATAATGTAATTTAAGATTGAGATCATTTTTATCTTTATTATGTGAAGAAACTTCTCTATCAAAAATATTTACACACTATTTTTAATGATAAATATAAACTATAAGACATATTTAATTCGGACGAAGTAGGATAAATAATTATTATAATTTAATAAAAAGAATATATTACTATCAATATGTTAGAAATATTAAAAAGTTGTCTTTGAATTTATAAATTTAGTAGTAAAATCGATCGGATCTGTCAATTCAATTTATTAGTTTTAACAAAAACTTTTGATATGTCTAATTCTTTGAAAGTGCAGACCTAATCAGGGGAAACATATATTTTATTGATTTTCATATTTAAAGGTTGACAAAGTTTGCTCATTGACAATGATTTTTGATCCATCCATTTATTTTGTCCGGCTATTTTTAATCGACTTTGACTAAGTAAATCTTAAAGAAACAGTCATGTATGTTTTTCACTCATATATGATGATTAAATTTTTTTAGAGATTTCAAATTCTTAAATATAAATTTACTTTTGAATGTTTTTCACTCATATATGATGATTAAATTTTTTTAGAGATTTCAAATTCTTAAATATAAATTTACTTTTGAATGTAAATTAATTATAATTATATAAATATATATATATATATATATATATATATATATATATATATATATATATATATATATATATATATATATATATATATATATATATATATATATATATATATATATATATATATATATATATATATATATATATATATATATATATATATATATATATATATATATATATATATATATATATATATATATATATATATATATATATATATATATATATATATATATATATATATATATATATATATATATATATATATATATATATATATATATATATATATATATATATATATATATATATATATATATATATATATATATATATATATATATATATATATATATATATATATATATATATATATATATATATATATATATATATATATATATATATATATATATATATATATATATATATATATATATACCTTAAGATAAATGGGTAGTTCAATTGACTTAAAATAATTGAGATCAGCGTTAAAAAGAAGTTAGAATGATAAGGTTCAAATCTTACAAAAGTTTAAATATATACTAACAATTAATCACTAATAATTTGTCATTACAATTTATTTTACACTCATACGTGCTCAATTTTGTTCATAGTTATAAGTGTTACTCATCGTACAGGTGGTGCGGATTTTCATCTTATATCTAAGAATGATATATCTTGATGACTTTTTTTCTCTTCTTTATAATCATTTAAATTTAGCCTCACATTTAATTTGCAGGACATTGATGTAATGTGGTTAAGAAATCCATTTAAAAAGTTGAGCATGAAAAGAGATGAAGACCTCCAAATTAGCACAGACGACTATCATGGTGATCCTTGGTCAGAAAATAATATAAATACTGGATTTTACTTTGTGAGATCGAACAACAAGACCATATCTTTATTTGAAACATGGTACAAAAACAAAGACAATTCTACAGGAAAAAAGGAGCAAGATGTTCTTCGAGACCTAATTGGAGGCGGTATATTTAAACATTTGAAACTTAAGGTTAGATTCTTGGATACACTATATTTTAGTGGATTTTGCCAGGATAGTAAAGATTTTAGAGTTGTAACCACTGTTCATGCTAATTGTTGTCGAAGTATCATTGCAAAGGTGGCTGATTTAAAGACAACCCTTCGTGATTGGAAGCAATTTAAGAAGTTAGAGGTTAATTCTACCACAAATATGCATTGGTCAAGTCATGAGAGATGTTCCCAATCTTGGGCATGATTTTATATAAAATAGTATCATATACTAGTCATGAGAGGTGTTCCCAATCTTAGTTAAATAATGATATATGCATACCTATTTTCATTTTGTTTACTCTAATTAAAGGTACTTGTAAAAATTGAAATAATTATGCTTGTGAAACCATTATTACCAAGACATTAACAAACTAAGAAAATAATCATTTTATAAGATTTGTATTTAATGCAACGCACGTTTTGACTAACTAGCACTCCAGTCTCTCTCTCGGTAAATTGATGTTTCATTTCTTTCATTGAATAATGTTCGACTTTCCATAGTGATGTCTAGGTTGTATCTATGACACCATGGTATATGTCATGGGCTCAACTATCCATGTCAGACGACGTCTTGTAATAAAATCTTGCCTGAGGGACTCAACAAAGTCTTGTTTAAGAGACTCAATTAAATCTTTTATGAGGGATTCAACAAAGTCTCACTGAGGGACTAAACAAAGTCTCGCTTTAGGGACTCAATTAAGTCTCGTTTGAGGGCCTAAATTAAGCTCGTCCTAAGGGAACATCTGAGATTCGAGGCAAGGGCAGAGTTTCGATGAGACTCGTCTTGAAGGTCCAAATATGAGTATGGAGGTAAAACACTTTGGCCTCTATGAGCCCTCGTGCTTGAGAGATTGAGTAGTGGTATAATTTAGAAAGGCTTATGAGGCAAGACGAAGGGCACGCTCTTGGCCTCTTTTACCTTCTCGAATTTCCCTTTTACTAGCTTGAGTGCCTTCGTTTTGGTTCGAGCACCCCTTGCCTAGATGTGTCGTTAAAGTCTCCAGATTCACGTCCATGACACGCAATTGTGTGTAGAGCGTTTAATGGGTCAACATACGCTCAGGGATATCAATGGGGCAGGACGAAGGCGGGGGATACATTCCCATCTCAATCCACGCCCTCTATTCTATTCCCTGTCTGTGTCTCGAGTCCCCGCCACGAGGGGATTTTGTCCCTCATCCTCGTCACAGCGGGTCTCTGCGGATGCCCAAGGTTCATACAGAGATCCATAAATATGATTTTCTTTATTTATTATTTTAAATCAAATTAATAGTAAAAATTTCAAAAACTAACCACAACAAAATTTTGAAATTATTCCTTTATGATAAATATATTATTTTAACAATATTTAATCTATAATATTGAGTGTCATAACGACCAAAATTTCGAACTTAAAAAGTTTAAAATAATCATTTATATCTCACTCTTTTACTAACAATACATTTATATTTTAAATTTATTTATAAGATAAATTTGTTAAATTGTAATTCATAGTGTCAAAGAAGATTTGATTTATTTTAGAATAGATTTGATTTAAGTCCAGAATAGATTTGATTTGATTTGGTTTAGTAACAAAAAGATATTTTGGGCTTTGGGCTTAGGGTGTAAGCTCAGTTATAAATAGAGGGAGTAACCCCTATTTTTCAAAGTAAGTCAAGTAAGTCAATTCATTGTAATCACAGAATTTGCAGTTGCAAGTGATTAAGAAAGTTTTCCACAGTTTGTGGGCAGAGAGAAACTCTGCAGAAATATTTGTCTTGTCTTCTTTTCTTTGTTTGTCTCATAATTAAATTGTCATTGTGGTAGAAATTCATCATAGAATTTGGTGGATTTCCAATATCTGGTATCAAGAGCTTTTGTTTCGATTCAAGGGAAGTGTCAATCAAGAACGATTGAAGAATTCACGATGACAAGTTATGGGAATGCAAACTATCCAGCAACGCTACCAATTCTGAAAGTTGACAACTATGAGAATTGGTGCAAACAAATGAAAGTCTTATTCAGGTGTCAAGGTCTTTAGGACCTTGTAAAAGATGGAGTCGAAGCGCTTGGCAAAAACGCTTCAGAATAAGAAAAGAAGAAATACACACAATCTGAGAAGCTGAGTTATAAAGCATTATTTATAATTCATCAATGTGTCAGCCCAGACAATTTCGAAAAGGTTAGTGATTCAGAATCTGCAAAAGAAGCTTAGGAGATCCTTGAGAAGTCTTTTGGAGGCGCTGAGAAGGTGAAAGAAGTGAGGTTACAAACTCACAAAAGGACCTATGAACTGCTTCAGATGGAAGACAGTGAAAATATATCTGATTTCTTCACTAGAGTTACAAAACTAGTAAATCAAATCAAGATATGTGGAGAAGCGTTAACAACAAGAGTTGTTGCGTCGAAGATCTTGAGATCTTTAGCTCCTAAGTTTGACCACATAGTGGTGGCGATAGAAGAGGGGAAAGACTTGTCGAAATTGACAAAGGAAGAGCTTCAAGGGACGCTTGAATCTCATGAACAAAGAATGAACGAAAGAGCTGCAGGAAAATCGAAGAGTGATGTGGCCATGCAGGCACATTCAGCAAAAGAGACCAAAGGCAAAGGAAAGTGTTTCGACAGAAGTAGAGGTGGCTACAACAAATCGAATGGTAGAGGAAACCAAATCGAAGGAGACGTGTCGAATCAAAGAAGACTATACCAAGGCAACCAAAGAGGTGGTGTTGCAAATAGAGGAATAGGTGGTGGTCAAAAACCTGATAAGAGTCGCATTCAATGTTACAATTGTCAGAAGTATGGTCACTATTCGAGTGATTGTCCAGAAAAACGAAAGAATCAAGAAAGTGATGCAAAGCTTGCAAAACATGAAGAAGAAGAGATGATGTTGATGGTCACAACAAGAGATGAAGATAAATTCAAGGACCAATGGTACTTGGATTCAGGATGTTCATCACATATGTCTGGAAGGAAAGACTGGTTCGTCAATATAAAACCCTCAACGAAAAATATGGTAAAATTTGCAAATGACAATACCCTAGCAGCTGAAGGTATTGGTGATGTTATGATCATGAGGAAAGATGGCAAGAGGTCAGTAATTTCCAATGTATTATACATACCAGGCATGAAGAGCAATTTTCTCAGTATAGGGCAGTTGGTCGAAAAGAATTATAAAGTGTCAATCGAAGATAAGTTGATGAGAGTCGTTGATGCAAATGGGAGATTAATCTTGAAGGCTCATATGTCTCTGAATCGAACCTTCAAGATTGAACTAAATGTGATGGAGCACAAGTGCCTTTCGACTGCAGCTAGCAGAGATGAATGGATATGGAATTATAGACTAGGTCATCTCAACTTTAGAGACATCAGAGATTTGAAGAGAAGAAATATGGTTTCAGGATTGCCAGAAATTGACATTCCAAACGAGGTATGTGAGGAATGTGTGCAGGCGAAGCAACACAAGAATAGCTTCAGCAAGGATGCAGGAAGCAGATCGAAGGCTAGTCTTGAAGTCATATACTCTGATGTATGTGGACCAATCCAGGTGGATTCGATGGGAGGTAACAAATACTTTGTTACATTCATAGATGATTTCATTCGAAAGCTATGAACTTACCTGATCAAGAAGAAAAGTGAAGTGATCGAAGTATTTACCAGGTTTAAGTTTATGGTCGAAAGACAAAGTGGTCGATAGCTCAAAGTTTTGAGAACTGGTGGTGGTGGAGAATATGTGTCGAAAGACTTCGACAGATTATGTGAAAAGGAAGGGATTGTGCATGAGGTGGTGCCACCCTATACTCCACAACAAAATGGAATTGCATAAAGGAAAAATCAAACCATCATGAATATGGTGAGAAGTATGTTGAAAGGCAAGAGTTTACCTAAAGAGTTTTGGGGTGAAGCTGTTTCGACTGCAACATACATTTTGAACAAATGTCCTACAAAGAAGCTAGAAGGAATTACTCTAGAAGAATGTTGGTCTGGTGTGAAGCCTAGCTTGAGTCATCTGAAGGTATTTGGATCTATTGCACATAGACATATGCCAGATCAGTTGAGAAGAAAACTTGATGACAAGTCAAGTCAAATGATCCTAGTTGGATATCATTCGACAGGAGGCTACAAGTTGTTCGATCCAGAGAACAAGAAGATTGTGATCCGCAGGGACGTGATCATATATGAGTTTAAAGAATGGGATTGGACTGCAAATGTCAAGAAAGATTCAGTGGGAATCCTATTTGAAGAGCCAAAAACTCAAGTCGAAAGAGAAGTTCGATAAGAGGAACCAGCAGATATACCAAGTACAAGCAGACCTCAAAGAATAAGACGCATGCCTGCAAGATTGCAAGATTGTGTGATTACATCAGATGATGTAATAGATAATGAAGGTGAGCTGGTACATTATGCTTTCTATGCAGATGTCGAACCTGTTAATGCAACTGAAGCATTAAAAGATTCGAAGTGGGTGAAAGCAATGAACAAAGAAGTAAAGTCTATCGAAGACAACAACACTTGGTCACTTGTCGAATTGCCTCGAGGCAAGAAGGCAATTGATGTCAAGTGGGTATACAAAGTGAAAACGAATTCGAAAGGTGAAGTAACTCTACACAAAGCAAGACTTGTGGCGAAAGGATTTCTACAGAAAGAAGGAATAGACTTCAACGAAGTTTTTGCACCTGTTGCTAGGATCGAAACAATCAGGTTGGTTGTTGGTCTAGAAGAAATAAACAGTTGGCACATATGTCAGATGGACATGAAGTGTGCATTCTTAAATGGACCCTTAGATGAAGAAGTCTATGTTAAACAACCAATTGGGTTTGTGAAACATGACGAAGAAAGAAATGTGTACAGGCTACATAAAGCCCTGTATGGATTGAAACAAGCTCCAAGGGCTTGGAATAAGAAAATTGATAGTTTTTTAAGGGAGAAGGAATTTGTGAAGTGCACAACTGAACATGGAGTATATGTAAGAAGAAGCAAGAGTAAATTGTTTATACTATGTCTCTATGTAGATGATTTGTTGATAACAGGTAGCTGTAAAAGTGAGATCGAAGACTTCAAAGGTGATCTCAGCAAGGAATTCGAAATGTCTGATTTGGGTGAGATTTCATATTTCCTTGGTATCGAATTCTACAAGAGCAGTAGAGGTTTGATGATGCACCAAAGAAGATATGCAGGAGAAATTCTCAAGAGGTTTGAGATGGAAGAATGCAACTCAACTTCGACACC